TTTGCACGCAAACCGTGAATGTTCCACTGAATAACTGCCCCTTTTGCTTATTTTGAGGGCAGTGATTCAGTACATTTCATTTTGGTTGTAGGTGACCGTTATCTCTGTTTTGGTAAGCTGCAGTCACGGTGGACCGCAGTTTTTTTTAAGGGGAGGGTGGAGGGGGAAGAGGACCGGAGTCCCGGATGCGGGTAGAGGAGGGGGGCGGATGCGGTGAGAGGGTGGAGGCCTTTGTTGGATGAAGGGCGGTGGGATGGAGGTTGATTTGCCTGAGGTGAGGGAGAAGGAGGTTGAAGAAATGAGGGTGTAGGATATGGTGATTTGTGTGAGGATGACGATGGCGAGGATGTTGTGGGTGAAGATGATGAAGGGGATGATGATGAGAATGAGGGTGAGGATGATGAGGGAGGTGAGGATGCAGAAGATGGCTGAGAGGGTGGTGAGGAAGAAGGGGTGTGGGGGGATGGTGGATGGAGAGTGGGAGAGGTAGGAGGGGAGGAAGTTGACTCCATGTCCTCCTCCGTCTCCAGAAAGGAGCATTGTTTGTTGCAGGTGTTCTGCCTTTGTCTATGTGTATGAAGGACCTTTCGGGTTTGGGTTCACTGACCCTGAGACTGTCTTCAGGACTTCTGAATGTGTTTTTGCATTCCTCGGGGTCGATCCTTTTGGGTAAAGCGTTGCTCTTGCTTGAGCGAACGTTCCGCCGTACTGGGCCCTATGTGTTAGGATGGCTTTCTCCTGACACCACTTCGGAAACTCCGTTGAAGATGCAGAGTAACCCCCTGTTGACAAATTGGACACCAGGGATCTGCAGAGTAGGTCTCCCCAGAGTGTCCTTCCTTGCCTCAACGAGGACACGAAGCACCATGTCGACAGCGCAGCAGTGTGTGTCCGAAGCGCTGACAGTTGAAACAGCGCATCGGTTTCGGTATGTATGGTCGTACTTCTAGTTCTAGATAGGCGATGTCTAATTTTGTTGGTGGTTTGGGTGTGTTGAAGGTAAGGATCCACGTGTTGGTACAGTTTTCCTTACCATCTCGCCGCACTCTGATACGACGAGCATGGACAATTCCATCGACCTCCTGAACCATCGCTTCTTCCGTATAGCCGCAGAGCTCTCGACTTTTGATGACACCCTTGGATATGTTCAGACTTCTGTGAGGTTGAACACATACAGCGATGCCACCAAACGAGGTGCAGGCAAACAGTTTGCCTGATTCTACGCTGGAACTAACATGTATCAGGAGGTCCGTTGATCCTAGATTTGTAAAGTATTTCGGTTTGTGTATTCCGAATGCTTTTAGTGATCTGTGTATTTTAAAGACGCTTAGTGTTGTAAGATCTAGCTCCTGCTTTTCATCTTTTGGGGAGATCACCAGAAATTGTGACCACCCCAACGACGTTCTTGTCGGTATGACCCAGATGCAGAACAGCATCTTCGCCCAAAAGGCCCTTCTTTCGCTTGCCCAGGCCAGGAGTTGCACCTGCTTCTCCTGCCTGGGACTTGTTGAGAATTGGGGAGGGAGAAATGTACATTTTTGGATCCATAAATTATACGTTTATATTCATCTCCAGGGCTCCCCACCCACGACCGAGTCCAACAAGGGGAGACCACTCGGAAGTCCATATCATGACTACCCTGGAGGTATACTCCCAATCGGTCGGTAAGAAATCTCGTCTTCAAACCAAGATTGGCAAATAAAACCCCGTTTCAATAAACCGGTAATAACCGGCTGGGTGCAGTAGGCCGCTGCCCCCACCCGTCTAGACCGAATCCAGGGTCAAAGTGGCGTGTTGGTGAGGAAAACCACTCCTCAGCCACCAGGATCTCCTTCTTCTGTCTTACGGGTTGCACCCCACGGTCAACAGGGTGCCTTGCGCTGCGGGGACTTGGGGTCCATTTTTTGCTTGAGCAGACCGTCGGTCGACAGATCGGAAAGAAAGATAGACGGACAGAAGACATAGCCAGTACGGACAAAAGATGTCTCCCCCACGTCAGAGAGCTAGTGACATACGAGTGGCATCTCATCAGGGGGGGGGGGGGGGGGGGGGTTATTTACACCCCCTGTTGATCCTCCCTCTGTAGTGCTCCTCCTCCATCTCCTTTTTCGTCTCCTTCTTCCTCTAGGCATATGAGCGCTCCAAACCCGCTCTGAGAAGTGAGAAGACGGTAAAAGGCGTGAGACCGAAACCGAGAATTCCCAGAGTATCTACTTAATGTATTCATGGGTCAAAATGGACACGTGACTCAGCCATGTTGTGATTGGCTGCAAACCACCGGATCGCGCGATTCGCAGGCCTGAAAACAAACGCATTTGTTTTTGTAGGTCACCGACCGAGTCGATCGGTCTGTGCCACGATGGCCGCTTTGCGACCTCAATTTGGCTAGTCCCGATGGGCCCGACCCGACCCGATCGCGTATGTGGGCACCCCCTATTAGCCCGATTTGCTGTTTTTGATCGACGTGTGTGCCACACCACGGAGTTTCTCAGTTAAAATTTCCGGTGCACGTCATAAGCATACGTACGATCTCGAACTGTGCTCACTTTAGTGGCAATATAAGCCGCCGTTTGCGCAAAATCCAGTGTCGCATCAACATGCCACCGAGACAAAAACTGGGAGAGTTTGATCGTGCAAGAGTTATTGCATGGTTGCAAGATGGAGCTGGAGCCCGAGAAGTTGCCAGGAGGCTTGCAGTGTCAGACTCTGTCATTGTCCGCTTGGGGCAGCGCCATCAAGCCATTGGATCAGTCCAAGAACGCCCATGTACAGGACGACCCCAGAAGACCACTCAGAGTGTTTGCAAGAGGTCTTTAAAACTTATGTTGAAGTCTGTTGTTCGCTTTGCTTTTCATCCACGTTTTTTTTCAAGCTGCCACGTACTTAGTTTTTTCTTCTGTGTTATTGTCACTGAATGGGAGTAGATCTTGTGTCTTGTCCGCTATCAAGACTGTGTGCGTTCGAGAACGTGTTCTGCGTGGACAAGTGAGTTAATTTCTATAGTCAGGACAGCACCAAATGGACAACTTGTCGACCTCATTGCACAGAGGTGAATTGTCCTGATTGATTTTTTTGCATCTGCCTCTGAATTCCCAAAAAAACTAAAATAACTCGATTTTTCGTGTCTATGCGACAAATATAAAGCGGTGTTTTCTATATAATCATTAGTATTTAATTACAGTCTGCGCAGGAATTTTTTAATTAGACCAAGAAGGGAAGTTAAGTGTACTGACTGCATGCGCCGCAAGACTGAGTTGTTTTCAGTCCAGTGGTTAATGAGTGACAGTGGGTTCATTTGAATTGACTCATTGCGATATATAATGAGTAAAATTTCTTTCATATCTTCCATCATTGAGATCCAGATCGCATGCGTTTCACTTTGCTGTCGCTTTTGCATTAATCACCGTGGTTAGATTACTTAATTGACAAACCCGAAAACGTTGCCTGAACTATTTCTCCAACAAGCTGATCGAGGCCGTCTCTTTCATTCGGTGACAAATCCCCCAAAAGGACAAGACATGTATATGTAAGGGG